AAATTGGTGGACTAGATACAGTTAGAAGTCACATGAAAATTTTTGATGAGTATAGGTGATACGCACCATAGTAATTTTAATTATTTTAGTTTGCAAAGGGAATTTTATAAATTGCTGAATAATTGTTTTCAAAAATTTAAATTTCTTAAAAAAAAAAATAATGGATTTCCATGGTCTGCTAAATTTTAAATACTAATATGTTTAATATCCCGGATCTGCATATTAAATTTCTATCATTGGTCAGCGGGTCATCACATTATTGAGACTAAATCTTGAACCCTGAAATTCTTGGTTCACTTTGTGTTTAAATTAACTTTAAAAAACATGTTTATTTAATGCATCAGTCCTGTGATTTTTTTGCCATATGATGTACTGTGTGACCGAACTCTACCCTTAAAAGTCAAAAATAAAAACCAATATTGTCCAAAGAAATATTTATATTTATATTTAAAAAAATAAAATGATGAATGAAAAAGAAAAATTATAATATAATTTTACAAATTAAATCCTCAAAGTAATATAACAGTAATAATAATTTAAAACTTTGTTTTCATTTCATTTTTTTTTCAACAAATCAACTAGTTAATATGCCTTTTTCTTCTCATCAATTGAAATCCCACCAGGACCCATGCTTACTAATAATAACAACCCACCAACAATACTAAGAGTTTGAAAGAAATCATATTTCAAGAAATCACGTTGTGGATCAGCATGATGAACTGACCAAAAATTATTGATCAATACATTAAAAACAGAAAGAAATAGTACTAAAAAAGTGGCAGACCATTTAGCCTTGAAACCAACTACCACCATGATGCAAGCAATAAATCCAATTATAGAAACCATTAATCTTGTAATTGACCATTCACCATGAAATATAAAGCCAATAAATAAAAATATCAATAAAACACGCCCAGCTAATTGAAAATAAGTTTTACGATCACGCTCTGATAATTGTGGGAGATCAGCAAATACAGATTTTCTTTTTGAGAAAGCATCAGATAATACCATTAATAGACCACCAGTTACTGAAAGACTTCTTAAAAAGAAATTTAATTCAAAAAATAAACCATATCCAATTGATTGTGATAATATTACTAGGAATAAACTAAGAACTGCATATTCTAGATATTTTCTTTTGATTATCAAGAATGAGCCTATAAACATTGCCTTCAAAAAAAGTTTATCATTATTGTCATATTGTTTATCCTTGGAAAAAATAAAAAATATTTAATATCATAAAAAAATTAAAACTTACAACAACATTACCAAACAAAAAAAGATGTGTTAAGCCCCATGGAATATGTCTCAGTCTTTCAAGATAGTATAATTGGTCACTCCATTGAAATAAAATTCTTAATGCATCTTCTAAAAATGTAGCAACAATAAGAAAACGAGCTATTGCAGGAATATGGGGTTTAAAAGGTTGAGAAATTGCTTCAAGAATGTCTTCTGCTTTTGAAGAATATTCTTTAATTTGATCCATTATTTATTTAAAAAAATAAAACTAATATTCAGTCAATGAATGATTGATAATATAATTAACATTAATGTTATTGTTAAATAATAAAAATACTTTTTATTTTGGTTCTTTTTAAAAATTATCAACCCTGTAAAATTTCTACATAATTGTCTAATGAAGAAAGAGTTGTACCATATTTTTAGGGGAGAGGTCTAATGTCACTAAAATTTTTATTAATAATTAAATAATAATTGCAAACAAAAATAAATGGATCAATTTAACAATGGACCTAGACCCGAGATCAGAATTACAGAACTTACTGAAGAAAGGATCAAATTTATTCTCATAAATACAGATTTGAGGTAAAGTATTTTTTAATATAAAAATTTATTTAAAGATAAACTTTAATAACTTTAGATTAATACAGTGTTGCCAATGCATTAAGACGGATTATGATATCGGAAGTGGCAACTATAGGTTAGTTTAAACTACTAAAAAAGCTCATTTATAAAGTAATGGTTGAGTACAATAATAATTTACAATAAAAAAATTGAATGGTTTAGCTGTTGAATCAGTAGATTTTGAACTCAATACTTCAGTATTGGCAGATGAATTTATTGCACATAGATTAGGTTTAATACCAATAGATAGCACAGAATCAGAAAAACTTAAATATGGACGAGTAAGATCATTAATCATTTGTTATTATTTATTTATTTTATTGTTGCTTTTTTTCTTAACAACAAAATTCCCATTTTTAGGATTGTTCATGTACAGGGGTTTGTAAAGAATGTAGTGTTGAATTGAGTTTACATGTAACTTGTAATGAAGAAGATACAACAAAAGATGTGACTAGTAGAGATTTGGTTAGCAATGATCCTCGATTCGCACCAATATTTGAAGGTAAAAAGTATTACTATTATTATTGTTATCACCATCATTGTTGCTTTTATCATCAATAAAAAAAAGAAATAATTATATATATATTGATTTAGGCCCTAAGGATCCAGGTATTTTAATTGCAAAACTTCGTAAAGGTCAAGCACTTAAAGTGAAGTGTATTGCTAAAAAGGTTAAAATTAAATTTTTGTTTTAAAATATTTTAACTTGATATTAACAAGAATAATCTGATATAAGACTTCTCTGTTTAATTTTAGGGCGTGGGGAAAGAACATGCAAAATGGAGCCCCTGTGCAGCTGTAGGATTTGAATATGATCCACATAATAGACTTAGACATACCACATATTGGTATGAAGAAAATGTGCAGCAAGAATGGTAAGGTTTATCATTGATATTTAATATGTTATATGGTTTTTCATATATCCTATTATTATATATATAGGCCACCCACTAAAAATGCCTCTGAAGATCCTCCATTATTAGATGACGAAAGTATATAAAAAATTTTTTTAATATTTTATTATTATTATTAATATATTAACAATAATACCTTTTTTTTAATAGAGTACGATTTTACAGTTAAACCAAATAGATTTTATTTTAATGTAGAGGTAGACTTACAGTATATTTTGGAAATATAAATAATAAATATATATAAAAATATTAATATGGTTTTTTGATTATTAGTCAGTTGGATCAATGAAGCCAGAAGATATTGTTATGAATGCATTTAAGAAATTATTAGAAAAATTGGCATCTATTCAAATGGGAATGGTTAATAGTGATATCCCAGTAGGAATCATTCATCCAAGAGAAGCTTTTTAAATATAAATTTTAGAGGTATGTTTAATTAAAAGAAGAATTATTCAATTAATATATAAATCAATTTTATGTACACATTTATATAAATAAACATAAAAATATTTATTCACATATGCATAACCAAAATAAAAAATAAATTTTTTGTGAAATTTTGATTTGAAATGTGCCTTCGAAATACAGAAACAAAAATAAAAAAAATTATTGTTACTATTTATTATTAATAAATATTAATCAAAATTACATTGTGGCAAAGTTGATGTTTCAGCAATTACAACACTAACAACACCTAAATTAGCCAATGCTCCTCTTATCAATCCACATAGGAATCAATGGTGTTAAAAAAAAATGTGGATTTGTAAAATTTTGAATTTTGAAAATAATTATTGACAAAAGATTATTAGAGGAATTTCTCTTTTTGCTGCATCAGCATCTCCAGCTAGCTTCTGTTGACATTCTAAAAAACCATCTAAAATTATTATCTTGAAGTACATATGCACCCTAAAATAACATAAATGATTAATATGAATGTTTGGAATAAGATATTTTGCAAACAAAATTGGCCTTTAGGGAATTCCAGCATACAGTAGAGTAATGACCCATACCTCATGATAAGAGAGGGCATGTGAATGTTTAGTTTTCAAATTGTCAATTTTGATTCTTAAAAATTATGCCCCAAAAATCTCTACATATTAATATATATATTTTAACAACATCGAGTATCAACAAAATAAATAATTTTTTTTAAAAAAATTTGTCTCTTTCATTTGTCATTTATTAATTATTAATTCATTCATTCTTCTCTAGAACAAGTTGCTAGCATTTCAGCTAAATTTTGACCAACTTGATGCCCTAACATTTCTAATTTATAAAATACGGCTTCCTTTGGGGCGTGAGATGCCCAGGACCTCGGACAATTATATTTGAACTGGTATGCAACAGAACATATAAAAAGTTGTAAATTCTACCCCAAAAATTAATGTAATTTATACTCGTTTTTATCATACCAGTGCATAAATTTATGTGGTGTCCTACATTATATGATTTTACAAACATAGTTGATCACATATGGGGCATACTGTAACAAAACCAGACAAAGTGAACATTGGTATAAATTCTTGACCTATGGTTGGCTCGGTCTAAAGACCTCCTGTCGCTGCGCCACGCACTCAAATTTCGATTTCGTGATTTGTTCAAAAATGCAATAAAATTTAAAAAAGGAATTCACGTGATTTTGATTAAAAAATTATTTTTCTTAGTGCCAAATTTAGTAATGATGATCAAAAACTAGTATAAATTTAGCAATGATCCTGGAGCACATATGCACCCTAAAATAACATAAATGATTAATATGAATGTTTGGAATAAGATATTTTGCAAACAAAATTGGCCTTTAGGGAATTCCAGCATACAGTAGAGTAATGACCCATACCTCATGATAAGAGAGGGCATGTGAATGTTTAGTTTTCAAATTGTCAATTTTGATTCTTAAAAATTATGCCCCAAAAATCTCTACATATTAATATATATATTTTAACAACATCGAGTATCAACAAAATAAATAATTTTTTTTAAAAAAATTTGTCTCTTTCATTTGTCATTTATTAATTATTAATTCATTCATTCTTCTCTAGAACAAGTTGCTAGCATTTCAGCTAAATTTTGACCAACTTGATGCCCTAACATTTCTAATTTATAAAATACGGCTTCCTTTGGGGCGTGAGATGCCCAGGACCTCGGACAATTATATTTGAACTGGTATGCAACAGAACATATAAAAAGTTGTAAATTCTACCCCAAAAATTAATGTAATTTATACTCGTTTTTATCATACCAGTGCATAAATTTATGTGGTGTCCTACATTATATGATTTTACAAACATAGTTGATCACATATGGGGCATACTGTAACAAAACCAGACAAAGTGAACATTGGTATAAATTCTTGACCTATGGTTGGCTCGGTCTAAAGACCTCCTGTCGCTGCGCCACGCACTCAAATTTCGATTTCGTGATTTGTTCAAAAATGCAATAAAATTTAAAAAAGGAATTCACGTGATTTTGATTAAAAAATTATTTTTCTTAGTGCCAAATTTAGTAATGATGATCAAAAACTAGTATAAATTTAGCAATGATCCTGGAGCTCAAATTTCTCATGAGCATAGTAAAGTACATGTTTTAAAAAAGAATAGAACTCTACAATAAAGAATTTTTTTGAGAAAATCTCTTTATTACATTAAAACTAAATACATATTCTATCAACTAATAGAGCTATTTTTTTAAAAGTTAGGACAGAAAATGACTTCTATACTTTTAAAATTTGCCCAAAATTTAGGAGGTCTTTAGACTGAGCCAACTGTATAATAAATTTTTAAAAAAATGAAGATAAATATATAGGGGCTCAATTTTTTTCCAAATCAAAAATATTATTCAACTTCCACTTGCTTTTTTATTAAGAACAGGGTGAGCAAAATAATTACTTATTTTTCTACAGACAAGGCTGATGATGAAATTGATAAAGTTGAAAAACTTGAGGATTCACTTGTGCATATTAAAGATGAAGAATCAAGCTCAGGACCTCAAAATGTAAAATTATAGGTTTTATTTTGCTTAATAATTATATTTATCTGAAATCTTCACCTTATATATCAAAGACATATGTGTAATGTATTTTGTAGAGATCATCATTCAAAAAAATTTGCTATGCTTACACTTGGTTTTTGCTAGAAATCTCTCTATATTGATTATTCTTGTCTTCAGGAAAAAGAATCTTGTTCATGTTCAGTATATTGTTCATTGAATATTGTACAATTTTTTAAATGAAAAGTTACCAATTTTTTAGTACTAGTTAATTTAATTTTACAAAAATGACAGCACATAATGATTAGATTTATTGGCCTTTTCATTTAATAGTGTGATATATTCAGTGAAAGAATGTTTTATAGGTGGCATTTTTAAAAAATTTTATGAAACCACTGATGATTAATATCCATTTGAACCTGGTGCAACTCCAACACTGATTTCAATGGTATGCTACAAGAACAAAGTTTAAAATGTGAATACTTTGTGATATGAATTTTATTTTTTTAGTGATGTTGTTGAGTGGCTGGCATTTTATTTTGTGAAGGTCAAAATAACTAATGGAGCCACTGTAAAAAGCAAGGAAGTAATCAACTAATGGTTGAAATATAATTCTTTAGTTAGTTCTGTGAAACTAGAAATATCTTCATTTAAAGATATTATCATTATTAAAATTGTTATTATTTGATTGACATTTATAATATAATAATTCAGTTTCTCAATAATTTTTTTTTACTATTGCAACTTATAATGACATACAACTATTTATTAAACATTCTTCAGCTTCAAAATCTTGAATGTCATTGTTATATATATTTGCTGGTGCTGCAATAAAGTGAAAATTGTCAAGAAGAGGTATGCAGGAATGTTGAAGTTCAATTTGGGTATGATATTAAAATAATTGGTTGCAATTACTGTTTATTCTTTTTGTTAGCAAAAGTCAAGGATTGAAGGAAAATGATTATTTTTTAATTCTAAAAAAAAGTAGGATTTTTGTCAAAAATTTACAATCAAAATACAATGATTTATTAACAAAATTAATTCTTTTTTTGCTTATGCTTTGTTGATACCTAAAAGAGGCGAATGATTGTTGTAGATGTGATCAAAATGTCTTATCTGGGGTGGGGGTGAGTGCTTCTATTAGCTAATATTAATATATGTCCTAAACCTAAAAACTTTCTTAACAAAAGATCTGCATAAAATTTAGCCAATCATTTTTCTTCTAATAAAATAACATGACAGTTGATCATTATCCAAATCGGGAATAATCCTGACTGTCCATCATTATTAATATTTATTAAGTCAAGACAATTATTACCAAACTAGGATTTTAGCCCTTTATGTGACCAGCCCTGATAATAATATCAAATTATAGTATATATAACATTCAATAGAGTTTTCCCAGCCCTGTTTATATTATCCATAATTCTGAACATTCTGGAAAGCTGATAGAATATACAATTCTAATTAGAAAAGGAATATGAGATTCAATGTATAAATATTTATGACAAGTTTTAACTTGAAACCAACTATTTGCTAGTACACTAATTATTCATATCAGTTATTCCTTCACTCAAATAATTAATTGTTCACAATACAACACTATTTGGTATTTATTTGTCAGTCATGTGTAATTATTCCACATTGAAAATTTCTTGTTAAACAATAAAATTATAAGTAAACTTTTGCAAATTCACCATCAAAATGTCACCAACTATTCACAAACAACAGATGCACACATTATTATATCATTGGAATAAAGGAATAAATTTTCTAACCATAAAAAACATATTTGTTTTTAAAAAATGTATTTAATTATGTTAATCCTCCATACCTTATTTTTTATAGGAAGAGCTTTTTTATCTATATGAATACAACAAGATAAAATAATGCAGTTTGATGCATATTGAAAAAAACAAATTTTAAAATGACATCTTTTTTGTGTTCCATTTGGGATTTTTGTTCTTCAAATATTTTTCTGCTTTTAACATAGTTCTCAGGTCATTTATGTCTATAAACTTTCCATTTTTTTCACATTATTTATGTAATTTTCGACCTTGTTCTGGTTTAATGCCAAGAGTTTTAAGTATTTCAGGTGTTGCTGTATTCACATTAATTGTTTTGTTTGCTGTAAATGAAATATAGGAATATACATCAATTATAATTACTATCAAAATGGAAAGGTAGGATCAATAAACATACATGCTATAAATTCTTCCCGATCTGCATATGTATAACCATAAAACTCTTTAAAATTGTAACCATCAACCAATGCAATGTTCTTGCATGATTTTATCTCTGCATTTTTTGATTTAGTATTTGATAAAATTAACAGAACAACTTATCTGTAGGAATGTTTGATACCGTATCAAACCTTTTAAGATACAATGATTTATTATTAAGTTGAAAATGAGTCAATAAAACTATAAGATCAAAGTCATACCTTTTATATTCAGTTTTTAAAATAGCAGAATTGAGCTTCAGTGAATTTATAGCTGTGATCATCCCACTTTTTGACTCTACACACAAAATCAATGTTCTTTGCTTACTATTATTAAATTGAATATTATTAAATGCAAATCCATATCAAACAGCACCTGCTGCATTAACATAAACTTTATTTGTATTCTGTGGGCCAACTTTATGTTTAAATTTGTAAATATCCAAAAATTCATCTAAACCAGAATCAACATCTTTGGTCTGGCTTTGAATATCTATTTCCATGTATTCATTTTTAGGATAATCATCTTTGACTTCTTAATCATCCTCCATACACTCATCCTCCTCATCATCTTTATTGTTTTTGGGATATTGATTTAATAAATGAACCACTTCTATTGAAATTGGAAGGAACACTATAACTTCTGGAAATTCATGGGAAAATTTAGCACCTTGAAGAAGCTCCTTTAATGCAACATCTTTCATTTCCTAGCAATCTGAAGAGATTTAAACATAATGCCAAAAATCTCATATTGAATATTTCATATTCTTGCAGCATTTCAGCTAAATTTTGACCAACTTGATGCCCTAACATTTCTAATTTATAAAATACGGCTTCCTTTGGGGCGTGAGATGCCCAGGACCTCGGACAATTATATTTGAACTGGTATGCAACAGAACATATAAAAAGTTGTAAATTCTACCCCAAAAATTAATGTAATTTATACTCGTTTTTATCATACCAGTGCATAAATTTATGTGGTGTCCTACATTATATGATTTTACAAACATAGTTGATCACATATGGGGCATACTGTAACAAAACCAGACAAAGTGAACATTGGTATAAATTCTTGACCTATGGTTGGCTCGGTCTAAAGACCTCCTGTCGCTGCGCCACGCACTCAAATTTCGATTTCGTGATTTGTTCAAAAATGCAATAAAATTTAAAAAAGGAATTCACGTGATTTTGATTAAAAAATTATTTTTCTTAGTGCCAAATTTAGTAATGATGATCAAAAACTAGTATAAATTTAGCAATGATCCTGGAGCTCAAATTTCTCATGAGCATAGTAAAGTACATGTTTTAAAAAAGAATAGAACTCTACAATAAAGAATTTTTTTGAGAAAATCTCTTTATTACATTAAAACTAAATACATATTCTATCAACTAATAGAGCTATTTTTTTAAAAGATAGGACATTAGACCGAGCCAACTATAGTATTTAGATTTAACAAATTTGGTTTAACAGGGTGGATTTACTGTTAACAGGGTTGACTACACAGTTGTGTATTTTATTATTATTATGTTAACTAAAATAAAAAAATCTATTTTACTGTTTTTAGAAATTAACAATAATTATATCTAAATTTATTTGTTTATCTGTTATAGTATGATCAAATAAATTTTGGATTTCCCAATTAGACATTTAAGATCATCATTAATGATATTCTAATTTTTTCCCTATTTAAAAATATGTACATAACATACCAATAATTAATTCAATTAAAACTATTTATTAGATTTGGTGGTGGTTGCTACATAGTGAGGGAGGGTATCAAGCAAGAATGTAAGACATTTGATTATAAAATTTTTTACAATGTTTACTATCATCTACTATTACTATAGATCAGTGGTGACTATACATGCAGCCCAAAGTATTTTGACACTGTCATAAAGGGGTTACACATGTAGTAAAGGAGTATTACACTTATGTTTTTAATAGTGAATGCCATAATTAATTTCTACTTTCTACCATCAAAATTGGAATAATTTTGGCCAAGCATTTCAGCTAAATTTTGACCAACTTGATGCCCTAACATTTCTAATTTATAAAATACGGCTTCCTTTGGGGCGTGAGATGCCCAGGACCTCGGACAATTATATTTGAACTGGTATGCAACAGAACATATAAAAAGTTGTAAATTCTACCCCAAAAATTAATGTAATTTATACTCGTTTTTATCATACCAGTGCATAAATTTATGTGGTGTCCTACATTATATGATTTTACAAACATAGTTGATCACATATGGGGCATACTGTAACAAAACCAGACAAAGTGAACATTGGTATAAATTCTTGACCTATGGTTGGCTCGGTCTAAAGACCTCCTGTCGCTGCGCCACGCACTCAAATTTCGATTTCGTGATTTGTTCAAAAATGCAATAAAATTTAAAAAAGGAATTCACGTGATTTTGATTAAAAAATTATTTTTCTTAGTGCCAAATTTAGTAATGATGATCAAAAACTAGTATAAATTTAGCAATGATCCTGGAGCTCAAATTTCTCATGAGCATAGTAAAGTACATGTTTTAAAAAAGAATAGAACTCTACAATAAAGAATTTTTTTGAGAAAATCTCTTTATTACATTAAAACTAAATACATATTCTATCAACTAATAGAGCTATTTTTTTAAAAGATAGGACAGAAAATGACTTCTATACTTTTAAAATTTGCCCAAAATTTAGGTCTTTAGACCGAACCAACTATATCAATTAATCACTATTTTTTGACACGTTTTTTCTCAATCAATAAAGAACAACATCGTCCAGTAATTTAAATTCGCTATGCAAATTCTTTGTAACGCGCGAATTTAATTATAATTCGTTAAAACGAGGTCTTGCTATATTTTGAAAAAGTAAAAAAAGAGAAAGTTGAAAATAAACGCTTGATATTTTTGGCCACCTCTATAGCTCAGCTCCATCCATTAATCTTTTAATCCTAGTCTCCTTTCAATTTAGGACAAGAGTTTCATCACCAAATGGTAGTAGAAATGCTTTGGTCTCTGGGCTCCCTTCTCGATTGCGTACAATTACAAATTGTAAATAAATATAAGATATTAAGTCAGGTTCCACGCATATACAAGCCCCTTCTTTGTTGTCCCCATGGTGACCATTTGGAACAAAATATCTGAATATAGAAGAAGCTTTAATAGACTCCTCAAAAAATGAAGAAACCAATGCAATTTCAATAAATCAATAGCTCCCTGAATTTTTTATTGTCGAGTTTAATAAAAATGTCTCAAAATAATTTAATTCTTGGAGTCAATTGTTTATTAATCTGACGAATCAAAATGGGGTGTCAAAAAATTAAATATAATTAGCAACAAAATTAAAAATTTTATTTATCTTGGAAATAGACATTCTAAACTATGCATATTCTTTTTTGAAAGCTATGAATAGGATTTAATTTGGCCACTTTCTCTGCCATTGTATTTATCTGTTTCACTGAAAAAACGCTCACTTGGCATGGATACTCAAATATTTACTTGCTAACCTAGCCAATATTGGGAAAAAAATTTGATGGTCCTTCCACCACAAAATCCCAATCGAACCCTCCTATTAAGATATATTCTTGATACTAAAGAGTAATAATAATAGTTAATAATAAATTTCCTTCAATAGCCGTTGGGATATTCGATTCAGGACAGCATTTGTTTTGTAAAAAAAAAGTTATAAAACCTACAGTATATTAATTTGGTTTAACTCACGTGATTGTAACAATTTAAATTGTATGTATATTTTATTTATATATTATATTTATAATGAATTCTGTATGTGTGTGTATGCGAGTGAATGCAGATATATATGTGTGTGTGAATTATATAACTTTTTAATCTTTCTTTCTCTCTTTCTATTTTTACTAAAGTCTCAATAAAATTATAAAAATTATAAACCAATTAATTTATTAATTATTAAATCTATAACAAAATCCAATTGTTAGATGTTAAAATTAAAAATTAAAAAATTTTTTTAAAATAAAATAAAATAATCACAATTATCATTCATCTTCAGAATCAGTAATATCATCATTTAATTGAGTTAAACCTAAACTTTCTTCATCGAATGCATTCAGTAATGTTGCATCCCTTGTTCTCATCAAAGAATCATGATGATGATGATCACCAATTGATGATAACATTATACTGCTATTTCCACTCGTATCACCACCACTACCCAATAATGTATTATTTTCTTTCAACGATGACGCCAATCCAATTCCTTCATTCTTTGCAATATTTAATAGATAGACACCGGCAAATATCGTTAGGAAACCACAGAATAATGTTATTAAATTCGCTGTATTGCCAGTATTAAAACCTTGGAATAATAATACAGACGCTATTATCGTTGATGTTGTAAAAAATACATAATATATTGGATTTACACTAGGAAAATGTGCATGAAGGAAGGAAATAAAAAATTTGCGAGTGAGAATGAGTAATATATTAATAATAATATATATATTAATATCACATAAACATTACACATATAAACGCTTACATGTTTGTAGAGAATATGTCTAACGCTTTGTTGAAATAATTCATTTGTACTAATATACATACAACAGATATAATTATAAATACATAAGTGGATGTATGACTTAATTGATTATTTCCTGCAAATGTCAATTTCAATGCTATTCCAAATCCTTTACATGACATCACTGATATTGATCCAACCAGCGAACAAATTGATAGAAATACCACAGGGTTCTTTTTGCCATATTTTGGAACCAATTTATATATTGCGACAAATGTATACATGAATACTATCACACAATATGCCATAAATACTATTGATGTATATATATATGTGTTTGTGTGTGTGTTAGATGTGTTATATATGATGATATATATATATATATGTTTATTACTGACCAGGTTTCAGAGCAAAACTTAATATTTCATCAACAGTGTTAATTTCTTTATCAGCTGGAGCATGAAGAACAATTATAATTGATCCAATTAAACACAATCCACATCCAACTGAACCAATTTTTCCAAGTCTTTCCTTTAAAATTATAGACGCTAATATGGCTCTTTATAAATATATATAGAGGTTAAGAGACTTAGAGATTAATAATAAACAATTAATTAATTAATTAATTAATTAACTAATATGTATTTGTAATATATTATAAATCTAATATATATATTTATATATTTATATATTTACCCAATCAATACACTTAAAGCTCCAAGTGGTGTTACAAGAATAGCAGGTGCAAAAGAATATGCTGCAAAATTTAACAATTCTCCAAGAACCACTGAAATATTATAAATTTGAAAAAACAAAATTTTTTTTATTTTTAATATTCTAAGATTTTCTAATCATATATTTTCACAATTTAAATAAAATATTTTATAATACTTGTTATCATTCCAAACCACCAAATTGGATTCTTTAAATAACTATGATCTTCACTCGCAGAACCTAAGAAAAAAAATAATTGATGATATATGTTAATATAATAATTATAATTATAATATAATTCCAAGATTACTATTAATAATCACCATGTCTATTTGATGTATCAATTAATCCTTTTTTCGTTATTATAAATGAAGTTCCAATCAATACACTTGAAGCAATTGCCAATGTTAATCCAATATATTTATCTGCCACTGACATTATTTTTATTTATCCTATTAATTAATCAATTTATAGAATTTGGAATTTTTCTTCTGTCACCAGGACGAGATCCCTTCGTTAAATTATTATTTTTATAGATATTAATAAAGAATGAAAAAAATTCAGAAGAAAGTATTTTGAAAGTATAATATTTTTTGTTTATATAAGGGAAAGAGAGAAAGATCCTTGTTTTTAGTAATATTAGTTGATGTATTATTTACAAGGATTTAATTTGAAAAAAAGGTGTTTAATATATGTATATATATTACTTTATAATAAATGATAAAAGTATGTGTATATAAACACGTTATAATTAATTAATAATAACGAAATTTTTTCATTTAAAGTTGAATTTAAAGAGCGAGTAAGTTTGGAGAAATTGAAAAAAAGTACTTTAGAAGGATCAACTCTTCCCAAATAAATTTTAAAAAAATTTTTTTTTCAAAAAATTAAAAATTAATAATAATTTTAATTCGTATCATATAAATATATATATATTTTGTATACTAAAACCCAACTTTGCCAACTAAAGTTAATAAAGTTGGTGTGAATGATTTTCAGTATCCACAAAAATATATGCATAGATCATTTCTGTATCACCTAAATGAGTGAGATAGAACTTTAAATATTTATTATTCCCTACCTACTTTTTACCTTCGTTAAAAATAACAAAAGAAATAGGCGACTATATTCCTTAGAATTTTGATATTAATAATAATCCGAATGTGCAAGGGCTTCATAGTTTGCTATGGTAAATTCACTCAACTACTATAAAATAATTTAATATAGGAACAAACCGGACATAACGAAATTGTTTAACATTAATTGCCTCATGTTTTCACCATCATCATTATCATTATTACGTTACTCGAAATGGAATGACCGCTTTTTAATTATAGTTGTAATAATATAGTATCAATGGTTAGCAAAAAGTGGATCATCCTCAATCAAAAAGTATGTAAATTTCTGCTAACCTCGTTTCAATTTAGGCTTGCATTTTTGAATTCATTTAGTGAGATTCCTGTTTGAGATTTCTATTTATGGCATGTTTTCAGTAGATCTTGTCATTAATAATAATAATATGAACGTATATAAAAATTGGAAAATAGTTTCATAAAGGTCAAACTTCGTTTCAACAAATCTACAGAGACAGAACACATAAGAAAATTCGTCATACAAAATCATTAATCGTGTTATATGAAGCAAACACTTTAAATATTCGTTGTAATGTTGAAACAAGATTCGTTGAAACGAGGTTCGACTGATATTGCTTTTTAAACCATTGATCACATTTTCTTTGCCTGCTAATTACTTACTTGATTTGCTTACTATCTCACTACTATTAGGGTGGGAGCCTTAACAAATAATTTATTTATTCTGTTTAATACTTGCTCTTTGATAATAATTCCTAAATCAAGTTGACATTTTCCCACACTTTGTTCAATAACACACCTTCTCATTGGTCTGAATGGTCTGCTTTTCGGTGGCACAAGTCTCTTTTTGCTAGTTAATTAATTGGTAATTATAGTATTTGTGGTATTTGGCTTCTTGCTCTACTTGATTTGATTTAGTAAACTGGAGCATTATTCACTGCATCCAAGTCACTATTTATTAGGTCCATGACTTGACTTATTCAGTGTAATTGGTTTATTTTAGCTAAGTAAATTAGTCAGTAGTGTTTATAGACTTACTAAACAAGATTTTAAAGGTACAAGAGGATCTTATTTAATTCATATTTATTTGACTTATTAAATTGTTCTTTTGCTGTATCTCATTGTTTTATTATCTATGTCTAGTTGTGCTTTTTTCTTTTCATCATCTTTCTATTATTAATTCAAAAGTGACTTCATTCATTTATCCACTTGTTTCAATTTCAGCTCTCAACATACTTTTTTTTTAGCACCTTCTCTATAAATGTAAATATTAGAGACAATGCTATAATTTTACTTTTCATGTCCAGATCTTTTGATAAACAAATTCTTTATCCTTTACATTCTTAAATGGGTATAAAAATATAAATATGAACCTGATTTACATAAGATTTGCCATGGAATCCCAAGAATTATAGCACTATTTAAAAAATTCTCTACATTGTAATATATTAAAAAAGTATATGTGGGTTATAATATAATCAATCTCATACAAAATGTTGATTAAGGAGGAGATAGAATTTAATTTTGTTGGTGGAATAAAAATATGATTTAAAAAGAGCTCTTTTAAATCAATGTTTAATAATATTGGATGAATTTTAAAATCTTTCCGGCTACATGAACTAATTAGATTTTAACTTTTCAACCAGATTTTTTCCGGTTCAACAATTTTCAACCGGGTTTATATGCGTTTGTTTGTTTTTCAACAAATAAGGTAAATAGTGACATAAATAAATACATAAAAAAAATTACAATAATTTGTCAAACCATGTGAAGAGGATTCTTCAATGCAAGCTATATATAATTTTGAAACAATTCAATTGGGCAAATTGTTACGAGTTTCATAGTAATTAATTAATATATAAACAAACCAAGCTATACTAAATATAGTAATAATAATAATATTATTATTATTATATATATTATAAAATCCGGTTTGAATCCCGGTTTCTATAAATAATAATTTTAGCCAGATCAAAACAAACCGGAAAAACCGGTCAATTACAATTAATTTTTAATTTTGATATGTTATATATACAATGAAAATTACAGTTTTAAGGAATTATATAGTAAAAAAATAAAAAAAAGATATTGGTTTTCTTAATTTGAACAAATTCATTCACGTATCAAATTTGTGATTTTGACAGTCTTTCTGATGATTTTAATATTAATAATTCCCAATAATGAATTCATGAATTCTTTATTTCTACTATGACTATTCTATATTGAAATTTTTAGGTATTTATTTGGAAGAATTATAGCATCACCTGATTTTAGCAATTCAAGATCCATGTGGAGGGTGTGTTTATTATAGGGTGACTTCTACAGCCGAGGGTGTGCGTACTGACTGGTATTTTTTTCTGTTTAGGTAAAAAATGTTAGCGAGTATATTAATACTGTATGTTTCCTTTTTTCGGATTTAAATTTAATTCACTATTATAGTGTTGCGGCCATCATCACTCTTTTTAAAGTACTTTCGAATCATAGTGTTGATGGTCACATTCAATAGAGTTTTTCCGGTCATATGTGTAACTTCACTACCGAACAGGACAAATGAGGTTATTTCGGGCACTCCCTAACAACAATGATATCAATAATGAATATGAGGATGATTCGTTGCCATCATTTCAAAAGATTTGTTTCAATTAAAGGCTAATATTCTTGAGGTATGCATGATAAATATAACATTAACAATGATGTAAATTTTTTTTTTGAACGTTAGTCATCTTTGAATGTTAATAATTTATAGAAATAAAATTATTAACAATTAGAGCTTTTCTCTTCTTCATTTTCATAAAAAGGCCAATGGATGATGAAGACAGCAAACAGCATTAACGACAATGATAATAATGATATCAATGATGATGTTGATGATAACGACAAAAGCAATGACAACAAAAATCAAAGTAACGAAGAAGATTTTTGTCATATTGATATAATTAATAGTAGGTATTCTTATTATGCTAGTTTGCTAGAAGAATATTAGTAAGAAAATTTAATTAGGTAATTTATTTTAAAATGTATATATTTTTAACAAAATGTATCTCATGATCATTTATTTTGACTCCAAGGTATGGTTATTCTCATAAAAGTTCTCGGGGCTAGACCAATTTTTAATATTCTTACATTGTTGTAGTTTATATGCGCACGTTTCAGTCGAAAAAACACATTACTTTTCGAATGTCTTCCCACATCCACACTTAATATTAATCATTCTTCTACTGAATGAAATTTTATCCAAGGTCAACTCTAAATAACACTCCAAGTCCAGTTCGCAAGGAAACTGATATGTGACTTGCCAAGTCACCCACTACTTGATAGTTCATCGAATTGTAATGTTGCTATCCTACACGATAAAAAAATTGATATTAGATCAACCATTACTGGTCAGCTTTTAAATATGGTGTTTGCCACAGGAACTTGATTGGGCATTATTATTATAGTTCCCAGGTACGTTATGCAAGCGTTGTGTTGAGGTTTCTTTTTTCATGTTGCTAATATCACACCGTTTTTAACGTTTTTAATTATTGAAGGGGGCCTATAGATTACCTAATGGTGATACTTTAGGCCCTGCTGCTTCTGTTGTCCTTAATGTAGGTTTGTAAATTATAAATATAAAGACAATTTGCACTTTTTGCATCATTTATTTAATTTCTACTTTATATTACTGCACTATCAAAATGATATATGACGTAGATATTTGCAAGTTGCACTAAACTAAACTTTTCCGTGGAATTACGTTTAGTAAGTAATTTACCTCAGGGATGTCCGTAGGAAAATGATGCGATGGAAGTAAACTAATGATGATCATTTATTTGTTGTTTTATGTTTATCTAGGAAGGAGCGTCAATCGATCCTTTTGCACATACAGTGAAGACAATGTTGATAATAACATCGTTTGGCAAAAATTTTATAACTTTGTCCAGATTAATTCAGTATTGAATTTACAAGACATCCTTTATACATTTTTGTTGAACCTGGTTACATTTATCATGGTGATTATTAGCATTTAATATTTAATGGCGAAATGCCTAGCGTACTGAAAAATGATTGAATAATATCTTCTGTTCTTTATCTAATAGACACACAAAAATGAAACAACCTTTTTATTAACGTAAAAATTTTTTTATGATACCGTAAAGTCAGGAAAGATAGCACCTCCCGAAAGATAGCACCCCCTACTTTAAAACAATTGAGCGTCAATATAAAAAAAATGTTACACATATGTAAAAAAGGGAATGCTATCTTTCCAGACTTTATGGTAATGATTCATATGAATTAAAATTAAATCGGATGTGGTAAGATGCAGTTTTGTAAATCTATTAATAAAGTTATGCATACCAGGCCTTTTGATTTTTATTTGTAATTATAACAATAACAATTTAACTTATTATTAAGATATTTCGGGGATAGGTTTTCTTTCTCAAATAAAATGATACCATTATTGATCCAATTGGCTGACTTCAACTTTGATTTCTATATCTTAAAATCTGAATCATTCAAATTTGTTAAATCATTTACTAGCTGACTAATTTGTTTTAATGTTAAAGCATCTTGGTTGGAATCCACAAGGGCATCGAGTAAGGGTTTATATTTTCCAAGGATGAAAACTGGAACTGGTTTGAGCCGGGATTTCTTATTTGAATATTCGACGGTTCGATTTGAACCAATTATCAGTTATGTAATTCAAATCATCGAACCATTTCAATAATTCGAGCTAAACTGTGTTCCAAAACATGACAAACTCTCAAAATTATGTATGCAAAGTTTTACTTCTCATAATACTTTGACTGACAAAATATTTCTCACTTAAAAAAACAAAAAAACAAAAAAACAAAAAAAAACAATTATTCAATAATCTTATCTGAAATCTCAACATGTGATAATACGCGCGTATTGAATAAAATTGAAATTTTTTAATAAATTTTTGTATACTTTTGAAAGTTTGAAGTTCAAAATATCAGTTTTAACCGAAGGTCAATGTTTTTATGATTTCGCCATAATATACCCAACTACAATAGATTTAGAATTCTTGGTGACAATGTCTCATATTTTTAATGACTCGTTTGATTAGAATATTTAAACGTTTGACGGTTTGAACCAAAGTTGCTGGTTCGAACCTGAACGTTCGATTCGACCGGAAAGCTCAAATTATCAGACATTTGTTTGAAGGAAGAATTAAAAAAAAATCTAAGAATATTATATAGAAAATTGTATTATCAAATCAGTTAATTTTTTTGAAGTTATAAACGGAAATATTAATTAATTTTTCTTTGCTAATCTATACACTTCGCATTCTTCCAACAAATTAAAACCATCTCTAAGAAAGTTATTGTTATTTTCATAAGCCTTATTAGGATAATAGCTGTACCACCAAGATAATATTGGAGAAGTTCTCTATAAAATTCTTTGTTAAAAATTTTTTGATATGGAGCAATCTTGTTGTAAAAATTACTTAAGAAATATTGTTGAATCTAATTAATGGAATAATATCTTACAATATATTTTTCAACATGATAAAATCATCATCATTCCATTCTGAAATTTTTTTTTCTAATACTTCATTTTGTCCCACTCACCATTGAATGGCATAATCCCAAACCTCAAGTTCATCTAATTTTAAATCATCTTTTTCCAATAAGACATAAACGTTGTCTTTTCAATTGTTGAAATACTACTAGATTTTAAAAATGCTTCTGGATTACAAATTAATTTATCACAATATTCTTGAAGCATACTAAATGACTGTTGATGTTGTAATGAAAATCCATAGACATAAATTAAATTTTGTAAAATCCATTCTTTTTTTTTATCAATTAAATATCTTTGTAAATCATCAATTAACTCATCAAAATTTAATTCATCATATGCTTCAAGAAGTTCTAAAATTTCATTTGCATCCAGATTATCAATATCAATAGTTCCATTGTACATATAACTATTAAAAAAATAAACAATAAAATAAAAATATTAATTTTAGAAAATTATTGAATAGTTCAATTATTTAACTATTTTAAAATAATCTTACATTAAAAGTACTTTGAATATTTTAGGGGAAATATTTTTTTTTCAAATAAAATAATATCACCATCTTCAGATCTTTTACACCAATTACTTGATAGAGCTGCTTTAAAATATGATGATCTTGCTTTTAAATATTGGAATGAACTTTAAAATTTTCCTGGTCTTCTGCTCCAACTTTGATTTCCATATCATAAAAATCTGATTCTTTTAATAAATTTGTTAAATCATTTACTAGCTTATTGATATATTTTAATGGTAAAGCAACTTTGTTAGCACTTATAAGGTTGTTAATTAAAGGCTTAATATTTTCCAAGGATGAAAAGCTATAACTTTTTAAAAATTTTGTAAAAAAAAAATTTTTACGTTAATAAAAAGGTTGTTTCATTTTTGTGTGTCTATTAGATAAAGAACAGAAGATATTATTCAATCATTTTTCAGTACGCTAGGCATTTCGCCATTAAATATTAAATGCTAATAATCACCATGATAAATGTAACCAGGTTCAACAAAAATGTATAAAGGATGTCTTGTAAATTCAATACTGAATTAATCTGGACAAAGTTATAAAATTTTTGCCAAACGATGTTATTATCAACATTGTCTTCACTGTATGTGCAAAAGGATCGATTGACGCTCCTTCCTAGATAAACATAAAACAACAAATAAATGATCATCATTAGTTTACTTCCATCGCATCATTTTCCTACGGACATCCCTGAGGTAAATTACTTACTAAACGTAATTCCACGGAAAAGTTTAGTTTAGTGCAACTTGCAAATATCTACGTCATATATCATTTTGATAGTGCAGTAATATAAAGTAGAAATTAAATAAATGATGCAAAAAGTGCAAATTGTCTTTATATTTATAATTTACAAACCTACATTAAGGACAACAGAAGCAGCAGGGCCTAAAGTATCACCATTAGGTAATCTATAGGCCCCCTTCAATAATTAAAAACGTTAAAAACGGTGTGATATTAGCAACATGAAAAAAGAAACCTCAACACAACGCTTGCATAACGTACCTGGGAACTATAATAATAATGCCCAATCAAGTTCCTGTGGCAAACACCATATTTAAAAGCTGACCAGTAATGGTTGATCTAATATCAATTTTTTTATCGTGTAGGATAGCAACATTACAATTCGATGAACTATCAAGTAGTGGGTGACTTGGCAAGTCACATATCAGTTTCCTTGCGAACTGGACTTGGAGTGTTATTTAGAGTTGACCTTGGATAAAATTTCATCCAGTAGAAGAATGATTAATATTAAGTGTGGAGGTGGGAAGACATTCGAAAGGTAATGTGTTTTTTCGACT